CCTGACTTACCGGGGGTCGGCTGTCCCAGCGCTGTCCCTGCACCCCAGCTCCTCTCCGCAGACCTGAACCTCCAGCATCGCCTTCCCAAGGGCTCCTTCCAAAGGGGCAGGTTCCTCCCTCCCAGAAGCACCTGCTCTTTTAGAATCATTGCCTACGAGGTTAAAAGGGGCTTTTCTCTGTCACTGAAGCTCCCTCTCCACCACCCACCACCCCGCCACAAAAGGTTAACAGTGGTGTGCCCGGCAGGCTAAATCGCCTTAGCTGGGTGAATAAAGAAAAATTAAATTTATTAAAAGAGGTTAGGGACATCCAAATGGAAGGGCTACACACCACTGACCCAAAGGATATTGGGTCCATGATGGCAGCAAAAACATACCTGGGACAGTGAAACAAGGAAGAACATAGAAGAAGCAACAGGAGAACCTAGGCCCAGCTGCTCTGGCTCACTGAGAAGTCAGAGAGAGAGAAGGGGGCCTTGGAGACAGGTTCATGGGGTGAGCCCTGGAGGAGCTGCTGCTGCCCATTGGGTCTTCTTGGAGGATGGAGATGGCACTGGCATGTGCCCCTAATGGGGGACGGGGGCTGGGTCCTTTGTCCTGAGCATATTTATCTCTTTCATGCAGGCAGGAATCTTAGGAGAGGTCTCGGAGAGTCTCAATAGAATATTCATCAGCTTTCCAGGTGTGCTCTTTCAGGGTTGTGGTCTCCACTGATTAGTCGGTGCCAGGGCAGGGGGTCATTAGTCAATGAATCTGGTCCTGAGTCACCCACAGCGACACTTGTCTGGTTTCATGCTTATCTGAGCCTGGAGCTGAAATACTACGGAGGCCTAGATGTTATCATTAGGGAGAATCCCTCAGGGGCTCTAAACCGCATGACCATCGATATGCTAGGGGAGGATAGGTTACCCTGGGGACAAGGTGGTTGTTTTCCCAGTTTCACCCCTTGCTAGGCATCTGTGCCTCCCTGTTGAGTCTCTGTACCTGGGTTTCTGTACCTGGGTTTCTGTACCTGGCCCATGTAACACCCCTAATTCCTTTTGCAGCTGGGAAAACTGAGGACCAGATGCGACAGGCCTTACCCAAATTCTCACAGTCAGTTGACCTCAGGCTGCTGTCACAAGAGCCACTGCAGTTCCAGGCACCAAGTCTTGCCATCCTCCTCAGGAGGCCTTCCCTGATTGAACACTCAGCACCTTCTGCCTCGTGACCACTGATTCTCAGGGTGTGGGGTGTGGAATATGTTTTCCTAAAGGGCAAGGACTGGGTCTGGCTCTTGCCAGTGTTCCAGTCTGTGCAGTGTCTGGCACAGAGTCTCGGGCTCTCTAGGCATAGAAATGCATGCATTATTCAGGAACAAAGGAATTCACAGGTGAACAAATGAAAACCCAATGAAAAAAATTAATAAATGAGGACAAGAATTAAAGAATGAACTATCCCTGGCCTGGTAGCTCAGTTGGTTAGAGCATCATCAAGGTTTCGGATTCAGTCTCCAGTCAGGGCACATACAAGAAGCAACCAATGAATACATAAATAAGTGGAACAACACATCAATGTTTCTCTCTCTCTCTCCACCCCCTCTCTCTAAAACCAATAAAAAATTTTAAAAAATTAAAGAATGATGAAATTCAAGAATCAATGACTAAATAAGCAAATGGACAGCAGAACAAAACTGCTTCTGCTTTAAAAATACAAATTGGACCAAACTGGCCCTGGCCAGGTAGCTCAGTTTGTTGGAGCATCATCCTGACGCACCAGGGTTGGGTGTTCAACCCCTGGTCATGAGTGTGTCAGTAAGTAGAACAATGAAACATCTAAGTTCCTCTCCCTCCCTCTCCCTTCCTCTCTCTCTCTCTCAAATCAGTAAATTTTAAAAATTGAACCAAATTGCTTAAAACTCTCTAATGGCTTACCTCCCACTTTGCTTGCATAATAAAAATAAAATACAGTAATAATAAAGAAAAATAAAATCCAAACACCTTGCCATGGCCTTCCAGGCCTTGTGTGCCCCGGTCCTGCCCATGTCTCCAGTTCCATTGGGCCATCTTCCTTTTCAGCCACCGGAATCTTTTTCAGTTCCTAGAATACAATGAAATTTTGCCTCAGGGCCGTCTCACATGTTCCCTCATCCTAAGATACTCTTTTCCTTTCTCTTCACAGTACTGGCTCCTTTCTGTTCTTTACCTGACATGCCACCTCCTCAGAGAAGCCTTCCCTGACCAACCTATCTAAGGAAGTCCGCTCATTCTTGCTCTTGGCACCCAGTTTGTCTCCTTCATGGCAGTCGTCACAATCTAGACAATCTAGTTGTGTATTTCTCAGTTCATTGTTTATTGTCTCTGGATCTCTCTTGACAAGACAAGGGCTCTGACCTCAAGAGATACCTGGCACCACTCAGGACAGAGATTCTGATTCTTATTTATCTATTTAGAATAAACTGTTGGTTAGGAACATGGACACTGACTCTTTCTAGCTCCATGACCTTAGACAAATTATTTTACTTTTCTGTGCCTCAGTTTCTTCATCTGTAAAATAAGAATAATAGTAGACCCCACTTCACAGGAGTCTTGGGAGAAATCAATGAGCTATTAGACTAGTGCTTGGCACCTAGAAGCCGCCATATAAGTATTTGCTAACATTCACTCATTTGATCAAACCTCAAGCCTTCCCTGTCACCACTGCTCATGCCAGGCTGGGTGCTGGGGGCTCAGATAGAAATCAGGTGCATTCTTTGTCCTCTTTGTGGCACTTGCTCCCTATATGATACAGGTGATCAAAGAGGCCACGGAATGGGCCTGCTAAAATCCCCCACTATCCTTTAAAGGAGCATGCTCACATGCTCCTTTAAATCAATTTTGAAAACTAATGCCAAAACCAAAAAGCAAAACCCAGCAAGTCGGCTAAGACCTCCCATCCATTTCCCACCTAGCCATTACTTTCTTGCTCTCACTTCTATTTTTAACCAGCTTAGATTCTGTTGTCACTCCTTATAGTCCTTTGCAAAGACCCTGCACTGCTTGCCTGCCTTTTCCTCTGGTGTACTTACCTGAAAAGCCCAGGTCTGCAGCAACCCACCAGCCACCTTCTCTGGGCGTGGGGGTGAAAACTACCTGCTGTACAGACAGGGTTACACCTCCCAGCCTCAAAAGGACTCTAGCCATGCCCTGGCTGGTGTCGCTCAGTTGGTTGGAGCATTGTCCCATACACCGAAAGGTTGCAGGTTCAATTCCCGGTCAGGGCATATACCTAGGTTTCGGGTTTGATCCTCAGTGGGGGCACGTAAGGGAGGCAACGGATAGATGTTTCTCTCTCACATTGATGTTCCCCTCTCTCTCTCTCACCCTCCCCCTCTCTCTAAAATCAGTAAAACATATCCTCCAGGGAGGATTAAAAAAAGGACACTAGCCAGACCCAGCAACCTTCTAAAGCACTTTCTGAGTAGGCTGGCCCTCTGTGTCTGCCTGGTTGACCAGTTCCCACCCTTTCTTCTGTCCGCCAACTTCCAGCCTCTTATCGTTCCCCTTGCACTCCAAATCCTCTCACCTTTTGAGAGCTTCACACCTTCTGTAACCCCCTCTCCTGCACCACCCATTTCTCCTTCTCCAGGGAATTATCCTCTCAGCATGCAAATCGGTTCTAGATATTTTCATTTAAAAAGAAAAAAACCCAAAAACCTTCCCTTAGGGAGTGAAGCATTGTATCCTGCCTTTTTGGGAGGAGCTCCAGTTCAGTTCATTTCTAGTTAATGAGGGAAAGTTTTTGTTCTTTGTTTGTTGTAGAAAAATGCCAGCCAACCCACTAGAAGGGATGTGAGAACTAGAAAAACTCCATTTTGCAGCCCCAGTTAGATAATAGATTTAGGCAAAAATAATCAATGTACCATAGGTTGGGTAGCTCAAACAACAAACATTTATTCCTCACAGTTCTGGAGGCTAGAAGTCCCAGACCAAGGTCTGGCTGGTTTGGGTTTTGGTGAGGGCTCTCTTCCAGGCTTGTAGAAGACGCATTCTCGAAGGCAGAGAGAGAGCCAACTCTCTAATGTCTCTTCTTATAAGGACACCTGTCTGATTAGAGCCCCATCCTTATGACATTTAACCTTAATTACCTATCTCCAAATACAGTCACATCAGAAGTTAGGGCTTCAGCATATGAATTTGGGGGTGAGGGGACACAATTCAGTGCATAGCAGGTGCCAAAACCACTATGTGAAAGGTTTTAAAGCGCAAAATGTTCACCCAGTGCTGAAGGAGCACTG